GTTGCAGCGATGCAACAAGTAACCAAAAAGGACTGGAATCTGGAGTTCTGGCTTTTGTCTGTTCCAGTAATTGCTTTGTACCCCGAGGTACCTGGAACAAAAAAAAAAATTCAGTTTTGAACTGAGGGAAAAAAGGAAACAATAAATAAACCGGTTAAATGGCAGTTGCTTTGGGCAAAATGCCACTATTCAGGTCACTTTCGAATAGTTTTAGTTCGCAAAGCGACTCTGACCTTCACATTTAGTAACAAGTACTGCAAGTAGAAAAATTACCGTTGTCCTGTGTATCGAACGAACAATTGCAGCACGTCCCTCCATAAAATTTTCCTCCATCAATGCACCATTATCTGGATTGGGTTTCCGTAATGACATAAACACCTAAAAGAATAATTTTATCTTCAAATAACATGGCACATAATCTCTATCCACGGAATAATTGTGAGCAAATTTAACAGTATCAGATAAAAAGTTTTAACTACCTCTGAGTCCTTCATACTTTTATACTCTCCTTTTTTCCCCATATTTTCCTTTTCCTCTACTATTACTTTGATTTCTTCTGAATTAGATATTTTTATCTTAATTAACTTATATACCTTACTAAATTATTGTGTTATCACAGTCGTCGTACTGACGAGGTCCAGTTGTGGTAACGATAAGAAATGTATACGACTTAATGGACCGAAACATTTCTTACCTATAACAAATATTTCTTTATATACTCCTTATCTATCTTAATATCCTTTTCTTCTTTTCATTTTTCCTTCTTCTCCTGATATTCTCTTTTTAACCTTTATTGGCTTTTTGCTTTTGTTAGTGACCAATGTTTCGTAGTCTCCACATCATAAACTCTTTTTAAAAGCACATAAACCATCGAATAACTTATATTCTTTTTTTTTCCATAAATTCAACACATTCTCCGCCAAAATCTTTTTCCATCTAAAGGAGCATGCAGCACAGTATTCAGTTCCGCACCACCGAATATCTTTTTGTAATTGACATACATGATGTTGGCAAGAAGCTGATATTCTCTTATCCAATCCAGCAGCGAGTTATTTCAAATTTAGCACAGTAAAGAGAAACTTGTAAACATACTTCTTCGAATGTTTTTCGCTTTGCGTAGTTGTCCGGGAAATCATCTTTGCCGTATTTTTCACGCCATAAATCAAGCGCTTTCAGATAAAGGATCAAATATGGCGTATGCGAGTGTGCTTCATAATCCATTGCATCAAGATCTGTTGCTTCCACTAGATCAATCAGTGCTGGAAACGGACGGTCAAGTCTAAATAACCACAAATGTCAGTGGAATAAGCCATCATTTCGCAGCTACAGGCTTCACTCAGCAAGACTGCTGCACTATCACTGTTCTATAAATGAAACATCAGTCGAGCGGAGCTATCCAGAACACCCTACTCTACTGCAAATTAAACGGGCTATATACAGCAACTCCTCCGTTCTTCTTCAAAAAAAAGACGACTGGGAATGGCCCTTCAAGACAGAAGGCTGGCATCGGTGACTGTCCGATGATTCCCTTTTCGAAAGGTTGCCCGGGAAGTAAGTTGAAGGCGTCCTATTTCTCTTAACTGTTAGGCAGAGCAGCACTAGCTGAATCAAGTCAACATCATAAACAAACCAGTTACTAAGTTGGGTATGAAATTAAGCAGAAGTATGGGAAGAAATCACCAAATTATATGGCGTTCTTTCCATTTTTAACAGAAAATCCTTTCCAGTTTCTGTTAAAAATTTTTGTTAAAAATTCTGTTAAAAATTTCCATTTTCCAAAATTTACTTTCTTTCCATTTTCTGTTAAAAATGGAAAGAAGGTCATATAATTTGGTGATTTCTTCCCATACTTTTGCTTGACACCTTACCCAAGTAGGTAACCGGTCTTATTTTATGGAAATGTAAAATATAATACTACTATTATTTAAGGAGAAAAAGTTGGCGGTGAACCCATCCAGTCAAGAAACAATTCACAATAAGTATCAGTAAGTTGCAGCACACTTTCAGAATTACTACAGTTTGAGGCTGGAGGAACAGTGTGACCAAGGAATTACACGCAAAGAAAAGAGCTCGGTCGTCCACCCAAAGACTGTAATAATAAGTAGGAGATGAACAAAGCGGATTACTGCATGGTATCTGTGCAATGTTAACTGGCAAAGTGAAAGCTGCTAATGTGATGCTAAGTTCCTGCACATGGTCTAAGTGAATTTATGCGACGGAAGTGGCCCTAAACAGAGATGTTATCAGCTCCATCAATGGGAAGAGTGAATGTGGCTGATCAACGTACTCAAGAAAAAATACAGACGTAGCAATAGAAGTTGTTCATTGAACCTCGAGAATAAATTTACCTCAAATCCGGTGCCACATTCTCCTCATGTGAATTGAAAATTGTATGTTCTCGAACACATACTCTTACATAGCCAGTCAACCCGTATGCCCTGTAAATTTTTCGCATTAAAAAATATAGAAAAAACAGGAATTAATAGTAAAATATCGAAATAGGAATTAATAATAATACAAAAATCGAAGCAAAACAGGGATTTTGTTTCATTTCACACTGGTGTGTAGGAACCCTCGTATCGACTACTCTTGGTACCTGAGTAATTATAAACAGGTTTCTTGAGGCCACATTTCTCTTCACTGCCCACTCCAGTACAGTTCTACCGTATTTTTTGCTATATCTCTACGCATACGATACATAACGAGCAGTGCAAAAAAATCACCGTGCATATACGAACGGTATATTTCTCTTGTATAAATAGTCGCTAATTTGCGCAGCATCTTCAGCTTGCAGATTGCTTCCAACCACAACAGTAAATTGAAATAAAAATTTTAAATCATCCTCCGCAATCAAATCCTCGGCACTCCGCAAAACAAATCCCACTTCCACAGAAGGATTCAGCTCCTGAAAATAAAGAAATGTAAACATATATAAGCAAGAAAGAACAAAACCGCTGCTGTTAAAAAATTTGATCAAAAAATGGAGGGGGTTTAAGCTAAAAACAGTCCAAAAAAAGAAGAAATAGTGAGCAGAAAAACAAGCTTGTGGACAAGATATTATTAAAAATTGAGTATTCAAGACTCAAAAATCTGCGTGAATTAAACGGAAAAATAAGTACAATTATGAGAAAATGTACCACAGTTCGTTCATTCAGTTCAGTAGAAAATTTATTCAGATACTACTGCACGATACAGAGTAAACCCGTCGTCAATCTGCGCAACTCTGAATAATTGGCCAACGAACGGGCTGCCCGTGCGGAGATGCATTTTTGCATAGTTCCACACAGTTTTTGTCGCTACCGGCACTGGTTTTTCCGGCAAATGCTTCAAGCTAGACAAATTAAGACTGGCGGCCAGAACCGTCAGGAAACAACCCCTTAAAATTCCAGTCCTCTAACTTCTCAGGTTCCCAAGCTGGCAAATGACCCGAAAAAAATTTTTAGGGGATCGTACGTGCGTACTATATTCGGTCTCTGGACTTGAGCTCATTAACATCTATGCAAGCGGGGATGTGTCCTTAAAATTTCAGTTTTCCAGCTTTCCAGTTTTCGAGCTAGCAGCTTGCCCGTAGAAAACTTTAGCGGACCCATAGGTGGGTACAGCGCTGGAAAATGCGCCCACTTTGGGGATGCGAACCGCACATACATGTAGATTAAATTCCCAAAATTTCAGCTCCGAAGCTTTTGTAAGTCTCGAGATGAAAAATCGGTGCAGACGAACACACAGACGCACACAGACAACCCCTCGTCAATATGCGTTTTCTGCATTGCATAGCAGCAAAAAATGTATAAAAACAGAGCCATCGACAGCCTTACCAGCAAATGGCGCTGTTGAAAATTGCACCCTGCTCACTTTCGAGTTACTTAGATTACTTCCGAATAAAAAAAAAGATTTTGAATACAAAAAAGTGAATGAATATAAAGACTGACCCATAGAGTGAATATAAAGAGGATTTTTACATCTGACTTTCACAAACAAGAAAAAAAAATAGGCAAAAACAAGAAAAACTTACAAATAAATTTAGCCAGACATTTAGAAAGTACTTTAGCACATTAGACAAATATTTCATCGAGTAAAGAATGCTAAACTACGTGGAACAGACATACCAATGAGTTAGAATTAATAGATATTAATCTTAATATCTACTAATTCTAATTACCACAATCGTCGTAAGCTGACAAGGTCCAGTTC